GTGTCTACGCCACAGTCCCCCAGCTTCCTAATGAGAATGGGGTGAGAGACAGTATCAAAAGCCTTCCTGAAGTCTAGGAAAACTATATCCACTGCCACCCCTGCATCCAATGATTTAGTGACCTGGTTGTAAAAGGCCACCAGGTCGGTCTGACTTGAGGTGGGATGTGATACAATTTTCAAATACCTGAAGGGCAATATTAGAGAGGGTGGAGATGGGCTTTCCTCTGGCATTGTAAGGAACAGAACTAGGAGCAATGGCCTCGAGATGCAGCATGAGAGATTTAAGTTAGAGATTAGGAGGAGCTTTCTGTCTATGACGGCAGTCAAGCAATTGGAACAACTTACCTAGAGAAGTTGTTCCAATTGTTCCAAGAAAGTTCCATTCTTGGAACCTTTCAAGAGCAGATTAGACAGACTTAGCTGGGATGGTTTAGTCGGGAATGATCCTTCCTTATCGAGGGGACTACATGATCTTTTAAGGCCCCTTCCAGCTCTACTTTCCTGTGATCTTAAGGTTATTAGTTCATTAAATGAAAGTTCTGTATAGGATAGGAAATACCATCTGAACATCAAGGAAATGATGATATGTGTCTATATTATAAAATAAGGAAGTTATGCATTTCTCAGTAGTGTTGCCCTGTCCCCTCCGCCCTTGCAAATTAGTATTTGAGCTTCTAATTGTGGCAGTACAAATATGGGTTCAGCTAAGATTTCTGGTTTGTTTCTGGTTTTTTTCCCACGCAAAATTATCCAAATCCAGAGCATTCCAGGCATGTGGCAGTTTAATGGCATAAGAAGCCTTAATCTGAGTCTCTGCTCCAATATAATTCTCTGGGAGTGAGAGAGAGATGACTCGGGGTATTGAAGGGCATCGTACACACTATATGCTACAGACTCCAGTCCTTAGTATTAGCCCAACATTTGCATGCTACCATTTGAAAAGCAGTGATGTGCTCATTCCAGTTGCTGGGGAATACAGCAAGGTTGATGAGCCTGTTGCAAGCAAACTATGCTCTTCTGTAGAAGTTGCTGACAGTTCTTGTGCAGAAATTTGCTCTGCTGCTATGGATAGAAAGCTTCCATCTGGCGTTTTTCATGTGCATTGTCCTGTTTTTTTCTTTTAATGATATAGCTAACAACTTGTCGCACAACTGTAAGCATCTCAGTCATGAGTCCCTTTGAAAATGTTATGCTTTGGAATGTGGGTGGGTATTACTTGACTATATGTTAGAATATTTTTTAAGACAAAGATTCAATTTCTCAAGCTTTCTATATTGATTGTGATTCATGGTCTCTAGATTAGCTGTTTTCTCAACTAAAAATTGAAGTTTCAAGACGTTGGTATGATCTGCTTCTGAGAATAAGAGCCCTAACTTGCTACATGATTTTTTTTTCTCTCTAAATTATTTGCCAGAACTCAATTTTGGGACAGCCAATGCTGAGCGCCAATTTTGATTGAATTTACCAAATAGTTTCAGGTGAAATGTTAAGTGATAAATGGTCCAGAAATTCTTAGCAAAGGAAACAAAGGCTGGAACCAGAAAACTGGTGTCCCTTGGTGTCAATAGCCCAAAAGTTAGGGCATTCACCATGTTGGACATGTGAACTTAAATCCTCCTCCTGCCTCAGGTTGTTAGAACTCACATCAGTAGCTTCACTGTAGAATTCCTTAACAAAGCTGAATGATATTCTGTAGTGCAGGGGTTGCCAACCTGTACTGGGGTGGCAATGCATGCTACAGGGGACATGGGCAGCCTGCGTGTGTGTTGTGGCAGATCAGAAAGGGGACAGGCAGCACAGTGGCAAATAGAGCAGGGAGCAGAAAACAGAGCAGTGGATTAGGCAGGAAACAAAGCAAAGCAGCAGATCAAGCAGAAAGCAGAACAACTGATTAGATAAGGGAAAGGAATTGGAGTGACACTTGAGGAGGGTGTGGGGCTACTTTGTGGCACACTTGCCAAAACATTTGGCTTCCAGTGCTGTAGTGGGTTGTGTTCTTTCTCCTGGCGGTCCTGTTCTATGTTGTGTGAATTATGTAATTACAGAGTGAGTCTCTGTTTTTGAGAGGTGGAGGACCTTCATTCAGAATCTTGCACCTGAGCGGGGAAGTTGGTTCAATTTAAGTGTCCTGACTACCAAGCTATAGTCACTTTATCTAGCTTGATAAACATTGAGTATTCCCTGTAATAGCAATCCTACCAGGAAAAGAAAGCATTTACACCTCTCTCCATGCAATTTTCTTGAATGTGGTGGGGGTAAAGTGTTTTGTTTTGG